CTGTTGGCTCATGTTGAGCTTCTCATGTTCTGAGACTTGTTACAGTTTGAAAGAAGTTTAGCATTGAGATTCAAATACTAATCTTCTCTGTGTGGTTTTTGAGGTTTTTTTGAACCTCAAAAATTGTCAACTTTTATATATTTAATTAGTTTATTTGACAACAGTAAACTAAAGATTATCTTACATTGTTAAAAGATAAGTAACAAGTGAGATTTCATCTGTCATGAAATCTGGTGAAATTATGAAAATGTTCAGTGACCTTTACTGTGTTATTTTCTAGCTACTAAAACTTCAGGAGAGAGTGCTTAATAATGTTGTAATAGGTCTGCTTGGAGATGAAGATCCAAGAGTGAGACATGTAGCTGCAGCTTCATTAATGAGGTATTTATGGGGTGTATTTTTTTTTTAAAAAAGGAGTTCAAAAAGATATTTGCATGTTTCTGTGTACCTCTAACTCCTTAGTGGGTTTTTATATTTTTCTTTAGATGAGGGATGGGAGACAAATGTAGCTTTACAGTAGCTGGACATGTATCATTCCAAATCATCAGGCAATTGTGCTTTGTTTTTTTATCAGCATTGCAATTAAACTTAACTCTATTACGTTCTGAGGTCACTTTGAATTTCAACTTCAGGAATTTTAACTTCAGGTTTTCTGCATGCTGAAGTGGTTTGTTCAGTATCCTGACAGTAGCTGATGGACTTTAAAATGTTGCAGTTCTAATGAATTGTCCTAACCCTCAAATAATGTGGTTTCCACATAGCTAGAAGTCACATATATTTAAAATTTCCTGGAGCCTGATTATAGTGGAGTAGCTAATCTTGTTGAAAAAGCACCTTTTTGCTGCAACCTACTACAGTTACAGTTGCTGTCCAGATAAAAGCACCAAACAGTAAGGATTAATTGATAGTTTATTTACTAGAATTCAGGGGCTTCAGTATAAGATGCTCATGACTTCCTCAAGCTTAAAACTTAGTTCCTGGAGTATTTTCTTGTCAGAGGAGTCTCGTAGTTTTTTCAGACTATTAATTGCTGTCCATTCCTAGTAACAAGGGATAATGAAACCTTAAACTCTGCCACTGAAAAGCACTTGTATTGCAGAAACAGCTCAGCAGACAAATCTTTTAACTGTTGCATAATAGTTAATATTTATTGATTTTTACTGGGGACTTGACTTTGAACTGGATTTACTTTGATAACCCAGTGGTAACAAATTGGGAGGTTTCTGTATCTTTGTGTTCACTTAGAGGCAGCATATGTGTTAAGGTTAGAAAAGGCTTAACTGCCCAAGAAAGTTGCTGCAAGCCTGCAGAAGCCTCTTGAATCACCAACTATGGGCATTCCTTGGAAGTACTGTCAGTGAAATTACAGAAAATGTGTACTGTGGTTTTTCACTATTGTCTGAGTTAAAATGTTGTTAAAGAAGACTGGAGCTTACTGTGTGTTTAGGTTTTGCTGCATGAAAATCAGATGGTGAAAAATAGTCCTCTTGAGGTAGAAATTAGTTTTTAGTTAACACAGATATCCATGGGGAAAATTCCTGGGGAGATAGGGCAATACTGGGAAATACATGCTACTAAAGTTCTCATTGTAGTGTATAGGTAGGTATCTCTAGAAACCTTGTTTTTGTTTAAACCCCCACGTGTGTAGAGCACCTCCTTTCTCATTTGGGCTCCTTCATTATAATGAAAAGCAGTTATATGAAGATGGACTACTTAACAGTGTGAGTTCTAGTAACAGGTTTTATTTGCAATTTTATGTGTAATTAGTGTATGCAGCTTTCCAAACTCTAGTAGAAGTATTATAAATGCACTGTAAATTGTAATAATTTCTGAATAATGCTTTTTCCTTGTTGACAATTAAGGCTTGTTCCAAAGCTGTTTTATAACTGTGACCAAGGACAGGCTGATCCAGTTGTGGCAGTAGCAAGAGACCAAAGCAGTGTCTACCTGAAACTACTAATGCATGAAACACAGCCCCCATCTCACTTTGCTGTGAGCACTATCACCAGGTATGTTGTTGCCTTACTTTAGGAGGAACATGGACCCAAATTTCAATTTGTAATATTGTGAATAATAGTTAAGTCCTACAAGTCCAGGTGCTTATGCATTTTTTCCAATCCATAAGAGCATCTGTCACTTCTAGACTCCATAGAAATAAACTTGAGTTCCAAGAATATACTGATGTGTGTTACTAGTTAAATGCTCATGCATTGACCATAGGGAGTAGTTTTTCTGTAATAAAACTTACCACCTCTTTATCCTGATGCCACTCAATTTGTCCATTAAATTGCACAAGTGCAAATCCAAGCTCATCATGTATTTACATTATTGATCTTTTGGTATGTTGATTAGCATTTATAACTCTTCATCTCTTCATCTGTTTAGTAATTGTGGTTGCAGAAGTCTATACTGCCTGTATAATTCAAAAAGAAATTCTAATTTTGGTAGTATGATCTTGTTGGTGTTTTTGCTGCCAATTATACTTTTCTAAACTCTTCTGTTTAGATATCTTTTCTGATAGGCAGCATGACTTGTGCATATGTATGGCAGCTCTTTGCTTCTGTCCATTTGTCATACAATTTCTTGATCATGTACCATTTCTATGTGTTGTCTTTATTGTGTCACTCAATGCTTCCATACTACGGTATGCAAATCCATACTGTAGTATGGAAACAATAGAACTTTATGGACATTTATTCCAGATACAAGATGTTTATTTTGCTACAGCGATAATCCAAAGTTTGTGAACATTCAGAAATGTTAGATGGATTTGAGCAAAAGCAAACACTAATGTTAAATTGGTGATTTCTAGAGCATATAGCTAGGTATTGAGAGTTGGCCTACTGTTTGTATGCTAACAAAGGAATTTATAGACTAGATTGCATTTGCTAATACAGAAGCATAAATATTAAAATGTATTAAGGTGGTATTTAGAGTTCTCAGATAGTTTTTATAAGTAGTCTATAAAATTAGTAGTATTTTAAACCATATTAATGTTTGAGGTCTTTGTTTTTTAAGCACATGTTTTTGTTTTATTCCAGAACATACAGAGGTTACAATATGCTGCAGAGTCCAACAGACGTCACTATGGAAAACAATCTCTCAAGGGTTATTGCAGCAATTTCCCATGCATTGACAATATCCACTACAAGAGCACTTACAGTGAGTTTTGTTAGTTGCTATAGAAGCTCATTTCTCTTTTTTGCTTGCTTGATTTTTTTTTTTTTTAAATTATCTTGTGGCTCAGTTCGTATCTGCAGCTTTGGTACTGCAGCAATGGCAATAGTAATGTGATTGTCACTGGTGAAATACTTGTTGCTCACTCTTCCAATGACGAACCTGATTCAGTTCTTCGTGTCAACTTTTTCAGTTTGGCTGCTGTGAAGCTTTGTGTCTTCTCTCCACAACGTTTCCAGTGTGCATCTGGAGCATGGGATGGCACTGTGGGTATGTTCCTTCTTCTGTTATTCAAGCTTCTAAAAGGTAAAACAGCATATGTTCGTACATATATACATTAATACATAATACATATATTAATGAGTTTCTATCTGTATGTAAACAACACTTGCATGTGAAAAGACTTATTTTTAACATAAAGGAAAGCACACTAATTACCTGTGTAACTTGTTCAAAATAGTAGCTACCCTTGTATATTTTATACTTCTATACATTTTGTTTTCTAAAATTGCTCTGGTTGTATTAGACCAGAGTGACTACACTAGAAGACTTTTTTTTTTTATTAGAAAGATACCCTGAAGGAATCTCATTTAGAGGTTACATAAATTCTTTTCCTGATTCCTGAAAATATCATTGTGCAGGTCTTATAGCTTTGAAATGTGTGTGATTCACATAGTATTCTGACAAAGATCTTTGGTGATCTCTGTCCACTCTTTTTGAAACTTGAGTTATGTTGAAAAAACCTGACTTTTAAAATTGTTGTAAAGGAAAATAGAGAATACAGCAGCAAGTTAGTGTTTTGGCTATAGTCCACTCATAAATCTAGAGGTTTTAATGGATAAATTTTGTTTAATTAAATTCTTGTCACTTTATTAGGCTATTTTGTTAGTGCAATACTAAGCTTGTCTCCCATCCCTACCTTGTGTACATGCAAGACTTGTAACTGGAGATAGTTCAGGACCATACTAGTTAGCAATTACTTAGTTCTTCAGTTTATCAGTAGATGTCACTAACAGCTTTGATACTTGTGAATTAAAAAAAAAAAAAACTAATGAAAAAAGCCAGTAACAACTTTTCAGGAAGACAAACCATTATCAGACCTCTGCTGCAAATTATTTTTCTTAAGTCCCACTTGTGTATTCCTGTAGCATTGATATAGTGTAACAGTCATTTTTTTAGATTAGCAGTCTGAGACTATTAGTTCTCTTAAGACTTTAAACTTACCAAAAGGAGGTGAAAAGTCCCGACATTCCAAAATTAAACTTTCAGTGTTGCCCAGCCAAGCCCTTCAGATGAAGCGCAGTCGGGCTGCACCATTGGAATGGCTGGCCTGGTGCTGTCTCTCCTTTCATCAGCATGGTTCCCACTGGACCTCTCTGCACATCAGGATGCTCTGATTTTGACTGGAAACCTGCTTGCAGGTAAGGCAGAACAGCAGCAACAAAAAGTGGATTTTCCTGATGATTTTACCATTACAAGGCCTGTATCTCACCCTATTCTGATTGTATGCAACAAAATACTTGCAAGATTAAGTAGAGGAAATAAAGAAGGAACTTCTTGCACCCAGGAGGTTTGAAAAGATGCTGCCTTCAAGTTGCAAATATCCTCTAGTTGCCAAAGGGCCTGTGCAGTATGCGTAGCACAGGCTGGGTACAGAGAATTAATATTCTTCTGTTTAGAACTGTGCACCTACTGCTGGTTTTGAAAATACAGGGTCTCTCTTCTGCTTGAAATTGTGCTCATATAGAGATAACTATATATGACTGTAAATGTTTATGATACTTGATTCCAATTTTTTGTCTGTATTCAAATAATGTGATTCCTATTGCAGCAAGTGCTCCCAAGTGCTTAAAGAATCCCTGGAGCACTGAAGAAGATATAAACCAAGGTGCTACAAAGCAGGAGGAACCCTGGCCAGCTCTGGCAGATCGAACTCTTGTTACTTTTGTAGAACAGCTCTTTTCTCATCTGTTAAAGGTCATTAATATTTGTGCACATGTAATGGACGATGTTGCTCCTGGCCCAGCAGTAAAGGTATGTTTTTTTAAAAAAAGTGACTTAAATACTATTGTGATACAGACCTCTTTGAGGCCTGTATCAACTGTTTTAGAGTTGAGAGAGGTATTTATTTAATACCTTGATAATAGGACTCTGCTATGTGTAGGAAAGCAAGTAACATGAGAAGTATGTGGTGTTATTCCACATGACAGGTTTTTCTTTAGTTTTGCAGTGTTGGTAATATTGGCTTAAAGTTTGAACCTTTATTCCTGGTGACTTTACTTGGAACATTAATTCAATAACAGGTGTATGTGGTAAATGGTGTATTGGATTGCATACTCTGGCAAACATTTGTTGACTTCTGGGTTGGCTGGCTGACTGTAATGCACTGAGCTCTTTCTGGGGCTAAAACCAACTCTTCTGTCTTTTGAATATCCTGCAAAATATTTTGACTTTTGAAGCAGTTCTTATGAAGTACTTTTAAACTTTTGATTTGACTTGTTTGAGTCTCACAAAAATGAGAGGGCTGGAGCACCTTTCCTATGAAGACAGGCTGAGGGGTGGGGTTGTTCAGCCTGGAGAAGAGGAGGCTTCAGGGGGACCTTATAGCGACCTTCCAGCACCTGAAAGGGGCCTAAAAGAAAGCAGGGGGGAGACTATTCACAAGGGTTTGTAGTGATAGAACAAGAGGTAATGGCCTTAAGCTAGAAAAGGGTAGATTTAGGTTAGATATTAGGAAAAAGTTCTTTACTGTGAGGTAACAGACCACTGGAATAGGTTGCCTGGAGAGGTGGTGGAGGCCCCATCCCTGGAGACATTCAAGGTCAGGCTTGGTGAGGCTCTGAGCAGCTTGACCTAGTTTGGAGATGTCCCTGCTTACTGCAGGTGGATTGAGCTAGATGACCTTTGGGGGGTCCCTTCCAACCCAACATATTCTATGATTCTATTCTATGATTGTTGGTTTTTAAAGGCATTTACATATTGAGACTGATTTAGTGACTGTAGGGCAATGTTATTAGGATGAGTAATTTCTTGGTATTTTAAAAATGTAAGAATATTTTTTGATACCTCTTTGTCTGGAATCAAAAGAAACTTCAGTCATTGAGTTGTAAGTTCATCTCATTGGCTGATGCTGAAGTTGGAGTATGTTAAACATCTTCCTTTTCACCCTGGAAAGTCATGTCCTGAACCTGAGAGCTGAGACATTCTAATTTAACAGACAGTCAAAGAAAGGCAAGTTTAAACAAAAGATGAATATGCTTGTATTTATGTAGAAAAGAAAAGCTACTTGTGCATACGAAATTAATAAGGCTTCTTTTAATTCTAGGCAGCATTACCTTCTCTCACAAACCCACCTTCTCTTAGTCCAATTCGGAGGAAGGGGAAAGAGAGGGAGTCTGAACAGGCATCTGTGCCCATGAGCCCTAAAAAGGGTGGTGAAACGAATCCAGGTAGGCACACTTACTCCTGTTAACCCTCCCACCTACCACCCCACCTACATATGGATGCAGCAGAGAGAATTAAAACAGAGTAATGTAGTTTCTGAAGTTTTAGTTCAAAAGGCTGGCCGACCTACTGTCAGAAGTTCTTCTCAATACTGCATTGCAGGAAAGGCAGCTGTGGGTGGGGACTTCTTTGCTGTTTCAGTTTTTATGAAAATTAACAGTACTTTTCAGAAGCATGGTACTTCCAAATCCTTTTCCTCACCGTTTTTCTCAGTCTGTTCAGCTAATAACTAAAATTAAAATATATGCAGAAGCTACTTCTTACTTAAAAGAACGGAAGTTGCTTTGCAACTTCTGGCAGGAGTAGCTTATGTAGGTCTTCAAAAAAACATTCTCAACCTTGAAAACTTGTCATAGTAATGAATGAAGAAACTGAGGAAATGGGTGTTAATTCTGTATTGTAAAGTGTACTTGCACTTCAGTAATAAACATTTCTTGGAATACTAGTTCATTAATTGTTTTGAGTACATGTCGTGAGCGCTGTAGAAACTGTTGTGCTAATCTATTATATACTTTCAAGCTACTAGGCAAACTGACGCTACTGGGCCTGTTCCAACAAATAAATCATCTTCAGTAGGAAGCTTTTATCATCTTCCATCATATCTGAAGTTATACGATGTCTTGAAAGCAACCCATGCGAATTACAAGGTACTGCATTGGAATGTGGTTGGGCGATCACTTAGCTTCTTTAAACATGGTGCTCTTTGTCTCTTGCTTGCCTGTGTAAATAGTTTATCCACACACACAATCACAATGACCACTGATTAAAAACAAAAGCCAACCAAAAACCCTGATAGGCATTGTCACCCTATTGCTTGTTTCCCTGCTGTCACCAGCGCTGGTATCAAATGAGCCTTCGCTGGCTTGGCGATGCCAAGTTGATCCCCATGTCTGTTCTCCCTCCAGTTTATTCCAGGATGGGTAAGCTTTTGGCTCATTAGTTCAGGTAATAGAAGATGCATTCCTTAGGGACTTGGTGGTCTGATTTCTGCACTTCAGGGGGGATGTTCTTACTGCACCTAACCTGTTTCAGAGAAATACATTATCCCTTCTCTGTTACTGTCAACATCCTAGGCCTTCCCACTTGCTTTCACTTCCTCAAGCTCAGGATCTCTTTCTTAGTTAAAATGAAGTCCTACCTTTCCAGAAATTCAGAAGGGAGGCTAAGCTGTCAGTAGTGTTGATTGAACTATGCTGTTAGGCAAAAAGATGAGATTGTGTTAATGTCCACTTCTGTCTAATTTTTATCTACTTGTCAAATACTTGTTCAGAAAATGAATGGGTTTTTTTGCTTCTTGGGACCAGGTTACTTTGGATCTCCAGAACAGTAATGAAAAGTTTGGATGTTTCTTACGGTCTGCCTTAGATGTTCTGTCTCAAATCTTGGAACTTGCTACTCTTCAAGACATTGGAAAGGTATAAGATTTGTGCATTTCTTTTGTATTTAAGCTGTCCAGAATCTGTGGTCCTTGCTGGGAAAAAGCATCTATCACTGATTTTGAAGTTGATAGTGTTGAGAGAGACAGTAGTCCTAGAAGAATGCTGTCACAGTAGTATTGGTAGGGTACTAAAGCGTATTTTCAGGGATAAATTGCTGCTGAGCTATTGTATTTACTTATTTGAGTACTCTATTACTGGAGTAATTTTTTCTGTTTCATGTGGAGATTTCTTCTTTCCAGTAAAATCATTTGCCTTCAGTCATTCTTGCTGTATTCATGTGTAAATGTGCTTGTGTTAAATGTACAAAATGTAAGGAAGCATACTACTTTCTCCTGTATCTGGATTTTTTTTTTTTTCATTAATTGAGGTGTTAGGCATTGTGGTACTTTAAGACTAGGGGAGAGATCTTGCATTTTTGTTTCTTTACATATTTCTGTGATTTCCCTTAAACTAGTGTAGTTACACGTAGTAAAAAATCTGCTCTTGCCCAATTTTTGTAGTTATGCTTTATGTAATGAAGAATGAAGCAATTAGGTGCACTTATTTTCTGCTTTTCTAGTGTGTAGAAGAAATTTTGGGATACCTAAAATCATGTTTCAGCAGAGAACCAACAATGGCAACAGTTTGTGTACAGCAGGTAAGTAGGTAACTTTGTGTGCTCCTGGAGGATTGACCCTGATGTCCTGCGGGTATCAACTGGGTACTAGGAGTGACCATTCTGTGGAGAAAAGCAGTGTGAGGAAGCTGTAGCCTGCATGGAGGAAACAGAACGTGTATTCTTGATTGCTTCTTAAACTTGATACTATCCAAATGATAGAGTTGCTTCTTGAATTGCTTCCAATTTAAAGAACTATCTTAGCTAATGCTGAGAAAACAAGTTTGTTTTCTGCCTTCCCAAATGTGTTCTTGTAGCTAGTTAACTACCTGAAGAAACCGGCAAAGCAGACAACTGCCTTACTGCTGGATTTCTTGCAAGCTTCCAGTTAAATGTTTGCGTTCAAGTCATCAAAGCTTAATTTTGGTGGGAGGCAAGCTTTAGTGGTCGATTTTGAGTTCTCACATGGAAATGTGATTGGTTTTGCAACTGAAACTATCTTTTCGGTGAGGTGTGGATTGCTGCTTTTCTCCAGCTTTTTTTCTGTCTTGCATTTGGCTATATAATCCACAGTTTGCACTTGACCTTTCCTGTAAGTCCTGGGAGGAGGAGGTGGCAAGTTGTGTTTTTTCCTGAAATGTTAACATTTTTCCTTCCAATTTTCTTCTCTAGTTATTGAAAACATTATTTGGGACAAATCTGGCTTCTCAGTACGATGGCTTGTCTTCAAACCCCAACAAAGCACAAGGCAAAGCTCAACGCTTAGGTTCTTCCAATTTGAGACCTGGTCTCTATCATTATTGCTTCATGGCACCATACACACATTTTACACAGGCCCTTGCTGATGCTAGTCTAAGGAACATGGTTCAGGCTGAGCAAGAACATGATGCTTCAGGGTAACTTTCTTGCCTTATGATATAACATTAGTTTGAACTAGATTCTGCTTTTGGTTTTCATAAATGCAAGTATTGTATGGGAGCTAAGTAGCGTGGAACTTATTTTGTATTATTTATTTCTTTATAGACTTAAGCAGCGTAATTTGTCTTGGTAGTGAGACTCTGATACAACACTTCTGATTATCACTAAAGTGTTTTCCAAATCAAAGTTAAATCATTAAAATGGATATGAGTTAAGGTTTATTTAAAAGCACTATAGTTTTAAATGCTTGTATTAAAAAATATTTTATTAATTTGCTAATCATAGCAAATAGTAGTCTTAAAAGAAAGGCAGAAGGATGACTGAGCAAAGACCAGAAATGCTTTACTAGATGCTTGTTATCCAGAAATCTATGATCTGATGTACATGTAGGTTGATTTTGCTCTTCCATTTTACTAAGATTCTTGAAGCAGTCAAGTAGATAAAAGTTGCCACTGGTAAAATAATATGAGTGTAAAGAAAGTTTGTTCCTTTGTTTTTTAATGTTACATGGGTTTTTTGTTTTTTGACAGATGGTTTGATGTTCTACAAAAAGTTTCCACACAGCTGAAAACTAGTATTACCAGTGCAGCAAAACATCGTGCTGATAAGGTACTTTTATCTGCGTGCTCCTGATGGAGCTGTACCTTAGATGTAAAACATCTTTCCTCCTCTTGAAACGTAATTTGGTTTTGAATTAGAGACCTGTTCAGATGTTAGATTACTTTAAAATCTCTCTATTACAGAATGCTATTCACAATCACATTCGTTTATTTGAACCCCTTGTCATAAAAGCATTGAAACAATATACTACAACAACGTCCGTACAGCTGCAGAGACAAGTTCTAGACTTGCTTGCTCAACTGGTTCAGCTACGAGTTAACTACTGTCTTCTGGACTCGGATCAGGTTGGTACTGCACTGGTTGTGCTAATTTGTAATGTGGGGATCTTGCTAGCAGCCTTAATATTTACAGCAACAATCAGTTTATTGTACTGTAGGTGAAAACAGAAACTTAAAGGAGGGTGAGACTCAATTCCCCTCTCCCATCCCACCTGCTCAGACCTTCAGTTTTCTGGTTTTCTATTGGATAGACATTACCTACTAAGCTCTGCAACAACTGTTTTAAGAACTGTTCACCAGATTCACTTTAGCAATAAGATGATGTGGATGATATAATCAGGGTTGTTAAATAAAACTTAATTTACAAATACGAATACTTTCTTTCTGTAGTGAGTATGGACTTCTGTATGACTCATAGTTGACATCACAGTTGACAACCATTGTTTTATTTTAGACTAGATCTTAGGAATTTGTTCTGTACGAGGGCAGTGAGACTCTGAAATAGATTGCCCAGAGAGGTTGTGGATGCCCCCTCCCTGGAGATGTTCAAGGCCAGGCTGGATGAGGCCTTGGGGAACCTAGTCTGGTTGAGAGGTGTCCCTGCCCGTGACAGTGAGGTTGGATTAGATGATCTCTAGGGCCCCTTCCAACCTAAGCCATTCTATGATTCTGTGATTTTAATGGTGGGGGCAAACTAGTGGCAAATACAGTAGTCTGTGTAGTTGTCCATATAAGCAGTAAATTTGTAATGTAAATGAAACAAGTTCTATTTTGTGTTTTTTTGTTTACTACACTAATTTGGGATTTACAAGCTAGTATGAGTAGCAATATATAAGGTCACACACATAAATCTTTTCAGTGAATGAGTACTTTGGATTTTATCTTGGTTTAGAGCTAGACTTTTGATCCCTAACTTGTTGACTATAACACCTCAAATACTGTATGTTAACATGAATGAGACAAAGTTATACTTAAGGATATGGAGACTATAGGTAAAGTGTAGTGTAAATTCATGCAAATGGTAATAAGCTCTAGCATCAAAAAGATTCTCAATATCTTCTGTATCTGCAGAGGGAACACTTCATAACATCGTGGAATTAACTATAAGTATAAATGTTTTTCAGTGCTTGTCTTTTCTCTCCTTCCAAAACACTTCTATAATGCTCTCAAAATTATTTCAAATGGGAATTAATGTCTCTGTATCTGTTGTACACTTTGTTCTTTCTTCAGGTGTTTATTGGATTTGTGCTAAAGCAGTTTGAATACATTGAAGTAGGACAGTTCAGGTATGAAATGAGCAAAGATCCTTTGATGGGTACGGGTTTGCAGCTGTCCTAATCTGTAGCATATAGTGATTAGTTTTGCTGGTTACTTCTGCTGTATAAGAAAAGGAGACTTGCCTTCTGGGCAATGTGATGTATTCTCTGGATGATTTATCTTCCATGTGGCTGAAGAAGTCAGGAAATAGCATGAAAAAAACATCTTAAGCTGTGTTGTTCTGTTTCTCCGTATGGTATTATAAAAAAAGCTCTGGGACTGCCCCCAAAGCCATGCTTTTGGGAATCAGCACTTCATTGCTAGGATGCAGTTCCTGAAGGGAGAGCTATGTTCTTCCTGCTGGGGATTCACTGCGAATCCGTGTGCATTCTCATTACCTGGTACATTGTGTAGCTCAAAAGAAACACAATGGAATTTTTATTGTCAGCTGTTTCTGTTTTCTCACACTTGAGTTTGTATGAAGAGAAAAGTGGGTTTTTCACTCTGTGGCTCTCTTACAGAAATACTCCTCTGTGTGTCATGTGCATTAGTACATTATAATACTAGTAACTGTATAGTTGTCAATGCTTGAAAGAAATCCTTTGGGGGGGAAAAAAACCAACACAGGGTAAAAAAACCAACAATAGGGCACAAAAATTATGTAAATATTGTGTGAAAGCAAAACACTTTTAGAAAAAAATCTTACTGCAAAAATTATTTTTGCTGAAGAGCATTGTGCAATTCAAACGTGACACTTTTAATTTTATTTTTGTTTTCAGGGAGTCTGAAGCAATTATTCCTAATATCTTTTTCTTCCTGGTGTTGCTGTCGTATGAGAGGTATCATTCCAAACAGATAATTGGAATTCCTAAAATCATTCAGCTGTGTGATGGTATCATGGCCAGTGGAAGGAAAGCTGTTACACATGGTAATTAAAAAAGGCACTAACACTAATATTAGTAATAGTTCAGCAATAAAGACAGTATTGAATACTAAGCTATAGGTAATGGTAATTCTACTGATTGTTCTGGAAGGCACTAGATTTTACTTTTTTAATACATAACTCTTACTTAATTCATTTAGGATGTTTATTTTACCCTGCTAACACTGCTACCCCATATTTTACATCATACGTAATAGCAACAAAGCTTTTATTTGATACTTTTAGGTAAAAAGTTCACAACACAATGGTACTTTAAAGGCTTTGCTTTTAATAGTCCCCTTCCCTTTCCCTCCACTTTCATATCTGTCATGCTTTCCAGTGTTTCTGCTGAGGAATGCTTTAAAAAAAAATCTGACTTAGCTCTATGAATATGAGCAGGTCCATCCATAATAGAAAATTTTCTAATAGAAGTAAAAAGATAGACATTAGTCATGGTAAGTTGGGGGCTTGTTCTGTTTTGGGGTTTTTCTAGGGTTGGGCAAAACCTTTAGTAAACTAAAAGCACAGTTTACTTTCAGTAGCAAAGTTACAACAAGAAAATGCAGTTCAAGAGTGACTTGTCTCATGCTAAAACAAATCTCATTTCAGCAATACCAGCTCTGCAGCCCATTGTTCATGATCTCTTTGTGTTAAGAGGAACAAATAAAGCTGATGCTGGAAAAGAGTTGGAAACGCAAAAGGAGGTCGTAGTGTCAATGCTGCTGAGGCTTATTCAGTACCATCAGGTAAGAGGATGACAAGAAGTACCTGTTTAGGGTCTACAAAAGGGTAACTGCTGTGCTAAAAATGTTTGAGGTAATATTAATGCTTTTCTGTAAAAAACTTGGGTAGGTGGACATCTAGTGTGATGGGATAGAGGAAAGGTTCTGCACTGCAAATAATAAGTATTTCAAATCACGTAACTTTGCTGGGGTTTTGTAGTCAAGCCTGGGTAACAAAGCACTGAAAAACTCCGGTTAAGATTACAATCATTTGTATAGCAGATTTGAATAAATAGAAGGTTAGTAGAAGAGTTGTAATAAATTTGGATTCAAGAAACATAAAAGTATGGGTGTAAAAAAGGAAGAGAAGACAGGATTAAAAGTAGTAAATACAAAAGTCAGAAGCATGCAGCATAAAGATAATGTAAGTATTGCTGTAAAATAGCAATATCTTCAATAACACTTTGAGATATTAATTTGAATAAGGTAATTAAACTGGTAGTTACTTGTTAACACTACTTTTCCACAGACCTCATGGGTCTGGAAAACATGTTTATGCCTTGTAGGAGTATAAGAATGACTTTCTTGAATACACTTTGTTTAAAAGAAAAACATAACAGTAATTTTTAAGAGAAGTGACATAATTAACATGGAATCTTATTGCTTATTCAGGTACTTAACAAACTTACTGTGCTTTTCATCATGTGAAAATGCAATTCTAGTGCATGCTAATATAAGCAATATATTTTCAGATAATAGTTGGGGAAAAAAGTCAGTACATCTTGTCAAAATAATTTGTTAGAACTAGATGTTCAGATTGGGGTAATTTTGTGTATCCACATTTTCTTTTGAATTTGTAGTTTTATAATGATAAAATGACTAATATAACTATTTAAAATGACACTCTGTAGACACCTGATGTGAAATAGTGAATAACGTTGTGTTACATAAGGTGCTGCAATTGCTAGCAGATCCCCTGCTGACACATTTAACCTATTACAGACCACCCATGCTCTGCTCTACTCACACCATCCCATTTCTGCTTCTTACTCTGTCCTGTCCTACTGGTGCAGTCCATAGAAACTGAGCCCTCAGCAGTTCTGTTGTTCCCTGGTGGTGGCTGGGATGTTCTGCAGTGGTGTCCATGTAATTTGGGAGGCTACAAAAGATACACACTTTAACTTCTTTCTGTCACAACTGTAGTTACCATCTATGGACCTCCACAGTTCAAGTCACTCAGCCCAGAATCATGCTTACCTCCTTTCTCATGAGAAAGCTTTTTGGAAAGAAAGTCATCCAGTGATCTTTCTGTCTCTTTTTTCTAATTGGCTGCATTTCTGAATCAGCTACTGGAATTTCTTTTACAAGTGCCCTGTCAAACTGGTTTTCTGAGTCAGATTCTTTTGTCTTGCTTTGCAGTCCATATGTTGACTTTCCTGCTTGTTGTCTTTAGCGTATCATTGAAGCGTGGTCTGTATAACCCACAAACCAGTAACATACTCAGCCACTAGAAGTGATCCTTGCTGTTGGTGTACTCCATTGTATGCTCTCCTATAAACTTTCATAGGACAGTGACATATCTCAGGTGAATGAGCTTGATAAAAATGTCTGTTCCGTTTTCTTGACCAAATATAAAGTTAATTTGAGCTAGAGTAAGGATGGAGTATACATCTGGGGAATTTATCTTCCTTCCCTTTTTGTTGAGTATATGATGCATCATTTAAATCTGTCCTGTTTCCAGTTGTTTGAAAAGGCTTCTGACAGATGCCATTTACAAAGGACCAAGAAAGCATTTTTTTCATAGTTGGTAAAAGTAACCAAAAAAATATTTTAAAGTCATACCTAAGAGCAACCTTTTAACCTGAAAATGGGGTTTTAAAAAATGTTGTGTGATTTCCTGTGTGGATTTTTTTTATTTTTGTTTTTTGGCAGATAGATGAAACAGTAAATTTTTTTTTTCTGCTATGGTATTACTTAAATGTTTCCTGTTAGTGTGGGTGTTTACTTGCATTCTTTTGGACTTTTTCTCAGGTGCTAGAAATGTTCATCTTGGTATTGCAACAGTGTCACAAAGAAAATGAAGACAAGTGGAAAAGATTGTCCCGGCAAATAGCTGACATTATTCTCCCAATGCTTGCAAAACAACAGGTTATTATATGCATCTTAAAATCTATAAACATAGAAAATAATTGTTTGTATTGATAATGGTTTGGGGTATTTTTTATATTAATACAGATTTTCTTCAAAATTGGTTGCTATATCTGAAAAAAAAAAAAATTACTCACAGGTAAACGAATTCTTCAGAAGTGATGAAGGTGATATTTACATACATGATGTATAGTATCCCCAGGGCTGTTACCAGAGGAAGCTCATTCTGCCTGTAGCTATCTATGTGACATTCTGCTGGACTCCCTCCAGTGTGTAAATGTCTCTTGCTGAACTGCACACTGGGGAAGGAGAGCTAAACCCTTTGTATCTTGGAAGAAAGCAAGATTCCTTCTAGGAGAAAGATTCCACCACTCCCCTCACAGTGCTACCCCCTAAGCGACAGAGGACTTGTCTTCAATACACCTTTTCTGGAATCAGAAACACTTCAAGAAAATAAAGTAGGACTAGTGAAATCATACCATTAATGTGACTTACTTCATGGTGGCAGCACTCCACTCTCATGAGACCTCATGCCTGGAGAGAGTGGGCAGTTATTGTGGATCAGACAACAGGCTTTGAGTAAAATTAAAATTCTGGCAAACTGAAATTGTTGGGTTTTATGAATCTGTCTACATGCTCAACTATTAAATTATTTAGGCAAGATGGGGTCATCCAGATTTTGAGTCCAGTCCTTTTGCTTTTTGCAGTTGAAAAAATTAATTTTTTCAACTTTTAAATTTATTTTTTCAATTTTTTTATAATTTCTCTAAAAAACTGTTCCAAGTAGTGTCCTGCCCATCTTGCTGCAGTGTACTACCACTGTAGCTGTTCATTTTTCTGATTATTAGGAAATTTTTTGTCCTAGTTATCTGCTTAAGTTCATTCATGACAGGCATTGCTATCTATAAATAGGCCTGGTAGAATGTGCAGGGATGAGAAAAGATCTTAAATTTGATGACAAGTCAATTTTCTAGTCTCATTGTCTGAATATGGCATATTTTCCCTAATAAAATGTGGTATGTATATTGAATTTCATCCAATAGGTTATTGCCCATATTCTCAAAACTCCTGTGTAGGAAGGCTTGCAATGGAACTTCACCTTCATAGCTTTTGGTTGCTTTGAATTTTGTACTGCAAAAGGACAAAGTTTTATTACACACAGGTCATTACAGAAATATTTAAAACAAGAAATCCTAATTTTGTGTTGCAGTTGCTTTTAGTGGATACTCACAAACAAGTTTTATGTTTTTCTTTTACAGATGCATATAGACTCTCATGATGCTCTGGGAGTACTGAATACTTTGTTTGAAATTTTGGCTCCTTCATCCCTTCGTCCTGTGGACATGCTTTTAAGGAGTATGTTTGTTACTCCTAAAACAATGGTAAGCAATTGTTTCCAGAGAAGAGAGAATCTGGTCTTTTGTGCCGAACAAAGCATGTGTTTCTGTTTCTTAATTTTCTATGTGGTGTTAAAGTACCTGCTGCAGATTGTAGGGAAGAGTTGTTTAAAATACCATTTACCAACTGGGAGCACTTTATACAGGAATGTTCTTAACTTGCCTTCATTTTGTGTTTTGAGGATCAGGAATGTAGGGAATTAATTTTCTGCAACAAATTCTAGAATGCAGTTTAGTAGACAAACCAAATTTTTCTTACGTTGGCATTAGTACTATTTTTATACGTCACAGTTTAACAGAGTGAATGTAAGCATGACAGTTACCACCAGAATAGCATTTTGGAAGCCCTGAGTATAAAAGTTATTTCCTGCTTGCTCCATTCTCAAAAGGGTCTGATTTTATACAACAGTTAATGAAAAATGTTATTTTTTTTTACTTCTTTCATACGTTGTGTAGTTTAACTTAAAAGCATCCAATCTTCTGCTTTTTTTGTTAGGCATCAGTGAGCACAGTCCAGCTATGGATTTCTGGGATTTTAGCTATCCTTAGAGTTCTAATTTCTCAGTCAACAGAAGACATTGTTCTGTCCCGTATACAAGAGCTTTCCTTCTCACCATATTTGATTTCCTGTCAAGCAATTAACCAACTGAGACATGGAGAAAATGCATCCACACCAGAGGATCACACTGAGAGTAAACAGGCTAAATACCTGCCTGAAGAGACATTTTCCAGGTATGTTGTCTTTTGAATAACATAGAATAAGATTGCTGAGAAATCACAAATATGTTGTATGTTATATACACACGTATAGAACTGGTATCTGATAGGAATAAAGTCTATTAAGTTAATACTGGAGGAGTGTGTGTGGAGGAAGGAATAATGAGATGGGCACTAGAGGGAGGAGGATGAGCAGTTTGTGGTAGGGACTTTGGACTTTTCTGATTTTTCTTTTTAATCTAGGTGAAGGATCTGGATGTATGCTGAGCCTAGTAAAATCAGGTCCAAAAATTTTAACTGGTTAACCCTTTCCTTCCTGCCTGTGTGGGGACTGAAACATCAGTGATCCCTTTAGTAGAAGCACAGGTTCTGTACTAGAGATCTACTTGAGAGAGTCCAGTGGAGGCTATGAGGATGACTGGGAGACTGGAACGCCTGCCTTATGAGAAGAGGCCAAGAGACCTGGGGCTGTTTAGTCTGGAGAAGAGAAGACTTAGGGGGGATCTAATTAATGTGTATAAATATGAGGGCTGGGTGTGAAGAAGAAAGGAGCAACCTCTTTTCACTTGTGCCCTGCAATAGGACAAGGAACAACAGATACAAACTGGAGCACAGGCAGTTCCACCTCTGTGTGAGGAAGAACGTTACTGTAAGGGTTACAGAGCACTGGAACAGGCTCCCCAGGGAGGTTGTGGAGTCTCCTACCTTGGAGACTTTTGAGACCCCTCTGGATGTGTTTCTGTGTGACCTGCCCTAGACTAGATGGTCCTGCTCTGGCAGGGGGGTTGGACTTGATGATTGATGAGAGGTCCCTTCTAACCCCTAACACTGTGTAATTCTGTGAACTTAGATGTAGATGGATTCAGACCTGATCTTATTTCCTATTTTCAAAGAGCCAGCTTTGTCTAGTTAGCTTCCCATGCTGATGTCCTCAGTGACATACTTCAGGCACCAGAAGTGTGGAGAGATTGCAATGTTACTATGCCAAGATAATGGTTGTCATTAAGGCACTACGGTTTAATGTAGTGGAAAGCAGTTGAAATACCCATTTGCTAAAAAAATATCTTTTTATTCAAGTATGGAACTTTGGATAGAAATAAAATGCTGTTTCTTCATTCAGCTCACTGAGGGTGATGGGTAGAGGGAAAAGGGGCATCTAGATTCCTTTATTGCAACCTTATGTCCAACAGGAGTGAGTTGAGGAATGACTATGGCCAGGAGTAAGGTTTTCTTCTGACCTTCGTTTGTTCTTTTTCACCTGGGTGAAGGTTTGATACAGAACCAAATTGTAGATGGGGCTGTAAATGGCTGAATTACTGTGATTTCCTGAGTTACCCCTCCTCCTCCTCAGCTGAGCTGCAGTGACTGTCTTGGTGTGGTTTTAGCTTGTTGAAAATGACTATAAAGACACCATAGTGTTTTGAATGTTTGCTGTGTGAGGTGGGCTGGTGTATGCATGGTGTCATGACTAGCTGAAGAGTAGATAACCTGGATGTAATAAGTTATTGTGCTTGTGATCATCTCTCCATATCTATAGCATCCTACTTGTTCTAGGTTGATATGTTCTGTAGTATTTAATTTAACACATTGTTTATGATGAATGGGAAAGGGCTTCATATTTTATTTTTCAAAATTACTGAGTTTCATGGACAAACGTCATCATGTTCTGAAAGGTGTTGCATTAATAATTTTTCTGTTGACTGTGTACATGTTTTTTTCAAGGTTCTTATTACAATTGGTTGGCATTCTGCTGGAAGATATTGTTACCAAACAATTGAAAGTGGACATGAATGAGCAGCAGCATACTTTCTACTGCCAGGAGCTGGGCACACTGCTTATGTGTTTAATACATATCTTCAAATCAGGTAATACTTTAAACATTACCTTGTGTTGTAACATGCCATGGCATGGGGGGGTTTTCAGTTCTGAGACAGTTGAATGCATTGAACTACTGAAGAGGAATATATAGGTGCTGAAGATATTTTATTCTCCTCATAAAGAACCTCCCAAACTTTGTGCTCGTGCATACACATTTTTCACATTTCTCCTGTCTGTGTGGAGCAAATTGTAACTAATAACATTTCATCTTTGCTTTTAACTGTCTAAAATCTTTCAGTTCGAAACTGCCAAGCATTAAAATTTGTGGCTGTATTTCTCATGGTTTTTTCTCAATTTGGAGGTTGGTAGGTATGTCCAAGCTTAAAATACTGAGTTACAGACCACTGGTTCAGACTCATGACAAGGTTCCTGTTCCTTGTAATGATTAATACACACAAACATACAAACACCCCCACCCCAAACAGAGGAAAAACAAACAAAACCAAAACCACCAAACCCCACCAAAAAAAACCAAAAACAAACAAACAAACAAAAACCAAAAAAAAGCACACCAAAAAAACATGCAACCAAACCCAAAGAAGTAAAGGTAGTATTGTTCTAGCTGGCTGATCTTGAGCTCCTTTCTTCAGGCTTGGGAATTGTCTTATTGAATTTCTGGCCCTGTGGTAATATTCCTTAGTTTTTATCCTGTTTCCTTAGTCTAATTTTTGGAATAGTGGTACTGTCTTCCCTCTTTTATTCTTATTCTGCCTTCACTGTGTCTATCCTTGCCTTCTGATTTTCAGCCTGCAGCTGAAATCCAGCCTTGGTTTACAGTAGCTGGCTGCGGTTTAAAAGGCCTTGACACAAGTCTGGTTCTTCACAGACTTCCTTACAGATATGGGAGAAGGAGCTCTGCATTCTGTGGACTCATCACTAAAATAGCTGTTAAAGTACTCTACTACTTAGCAGGTGTAGATAAGAAAAAAAACTGCATACAGAATACTGTTATCAGACATTTAACATGGTTCTGTACTGCACTGTATCCCAACAAACTTTTTTTTTTTTAAGCCCTTTCCTGAAGGGAAAAAAACCTTAGTTCTGTTCCTTTTGTTGCTATTAGCTGCTTCTTGCTAACATGAGTATTATAGGTGAGGGCTTAAAATAAATAAAATGATGATGGAAGCGTTCTGGCTCAGCTGCACTGAGTCTTGTCAGGATCTATGTAGAAATTTTAATGGAAAATTAAAGTTAGATATTAAAACACTCATGCAGAGCTCTAGGATCTTTGTATTGCATGATCTCTAGAAATGAATTTAATACAAGACTACAAATCAACTCTGAAGTACTAGTAGTCTTGTGGTTACCTTACATGGTGTAACAGAGCAAAAGTTGTTCAGACACCTGGGCTGTATTTTCATGTCCTACCATTATTCTTTCAGGTTTAGGCTTAGGGTTAACTAAGTGCTTGGTTTTGTAATACTTTTCTTTTGTTCAGCTAAAACCTCTAATTTTTTTCTTTTTAAGTTATATTCTCCTGATGATGGGTGCAGCTTGTAGTGACTTGTGTCTGGGAGCAGACTAGTCATTTTTAACCACTATTCCTCTTGGATGTTTTGTCTTCTCACCAATTACAGTTTTTTCAAACATGAGCATTGCTGACTCCTATATATTCAACTATGGGAAGCTACCTGATTAGAAATGAACATTTTCAGTGTGCTACTTTGAAGTTAGTAGAAACAAAAGTCAGACCAAGTGGAAAGATTAGCATGCAGCAGCTTTCTTGACTGTAGAAAGTCACTAGGTGGTGCAGTTACTGCAAATGCAGGAAGCTGGAATGGTAATGGCACTGGTTTGCTAGTAAGTAGAACCTGAGTTTTAAGACCAAATTATTTTTCCCTTTCTTTATTTCTGTATTTATCAGACCTGGGGGCAGCTAAAACTGGCTGTGGAATTTACAGCTTCATTCTTATGGATATCTGGCAAAGCAAGCAAGCAACACCGCACATCTCCGTTAGTCTGACTAGCTCTTGGTATCTGAAAAAACCTTTTTTCCCCTTATCTTGTTTTCTCATAGAAACTCAATGTCTGTACCTTTATAAAAGTTAATTTGCTCATTTTCCTTGTTTTCTCACTCTTTGTTTTGGAATATGAATACAGAATCAGCAAGTCAGAAAGCAAAATTCAGCTGTTGTGCTGAGTGTTCAGTAAGGCAGGGCATGACTTTTCTCCACTTAAAAACATTTAATTTTTACACTGTATAAACTGGTTTGAAGAGTATCAGAAGAGTAGCCATCATCTGAAGTAAGATACTTGTAAGTTATCTTCCTTAGCATGAAATACTGGTTTATAATTTACTATTTTTAATTTGGTGAAGGTTTTCATGTGTCAGAGAAACATTTTGATGCATGACAGAAAAAGTTCAGAAGATAGGTTTTGTTACAAGTCTCATCTATCCAAAGCAGTATTTAGTGTGGGAACTGGTCATTACTGGTTTATACACTAACTACTCTTGGACAAACTGCATGACGTGTCTTACATTTGTAAAACCACTTAGGTTATACCTTTCCACAGCAGTGGCTTATGAACAGGATGTGTTCCCAAGGTACCTCGGATAATTTCAAAACTTCAGAACTGAAATTAAAGCATAGTTACTCTAACATGCTTTTATTGTTTTCAGGAATGTTCAGAAGAATCACAGCTGCAGCTACCAGACTTTTTACAGGAGATGGATCTGATGGTAGTTTCTATACCCTTGAAAGTTTGAGTGAGCTTGTTCAGTCCATGATTCCCACACATCCTTCTCTAGTTCTTCTCTGGTGTCAGATCCTGCTTCTTGTCAATTATACCAACTACAATTGGTGGTCAGAAGTGCATCAAACCCCAAAGTAAGATTTGGTTTTGATCCCTGGTAGTGTGTCTCATAGTTATATTTGCTAAAATTGTATTTTTTTAAATCTAGTTTTTCTGTTAAGCCTGTCAGCCTATTGAGTAGTACTATTTGGCTTCTGACATAGTTCTACATTTACTTCACATGTATAAATATTGTCTATTCTAATATCAGTGTCTTGTAAACTAAGGAAATGTGTTCTGCATGCAGTTGTACCTCAAAAGAACTGCCAGGTAATCTCTACTTTTAAGGCAAGAAAACATCTTGGTTCTTAAACTACTTGCAATTAAAATTATTGAAATACTGACAAAATATTCACTATTTTGTGTTTCTATAGAGACTTTGTACTTTCATAAACAAAACAATGTTATTTGCTAGAAGGTGAAATATAATCTGATCAGTGTAACTATAACTGCAACTATGGTTGCAGTTCTAGTCTCTGTTCTCAGTGGGGCTACTGAATTTCTAAATGCTACCAAAACATAGTATCAGCACTATGTTGTTGCATTAGCATCAAGCATCACAGTAGCCTCACTTAACATTACTTGTCCAAAATCCAGACATTTGGTCTAAGATGGGTGTTGTCTTTGTCTGAAGTTGGTTCATCCAACCTGTCAGACTCTGGAATGATTCACCCCCTGGGGGTTAGGAAGATACCTCCTTTGTGGGTATCCCTCTGTGCTAAGTGTAGAGTGAAATTAACAGCTCATCTGAGACATTTCTCATGCCTGTGAACGTTAGAGAAGAGTAATCTTGCTTTACAACATGAGTGGATCGGTCCTTGCTCAAATGTGAGATTCTTGCCTCAGTTCAACCTCATGATGTGAAAAAACATCCTTGTGACATTACAATGGCTAGAAAGTAAAGAGCTGATGTAAAGTGTCTAAAGCAATATGTTTGAAGTTTGTGGGACAATAAATATTACATTAAAGATGTTAGTAGGATACTCCAAGCAATTTGATTCTTAATGTTTCAGTAGGCCTATTAATAAAATGGTAACAAAATATAATGTGCTTCTTGCAGGAGACACAGTCTTTCTACTACTAAATTGCTTAGCCCTCAGATTTCTGGAGACAGTGATGAATCAGATTCAGAATCTAAACGTGGCATGTGCAATCGAGAGATAGTAAGAAGAGGAGCTCTCATTCTTTTTTGTGACTATGTTGTAAGTTTGGAATTGTGAATTCTAGAACCATAGTTTTGAGTTAGGTTATCATGCTGACTTTTTATTACACATGTGCTTTAGAATCTGTCTCGTTCACAAGTGAAAAATTAAGACTTGTGAAACTAGTCATTTGTTCTCAGGTGATGCTTCTGTAAGCTTAGAGGAAAAAAAAAAAAAAAGAGGTCCTATTTTGAATGGAGAATTCCCTTGGTTGCGAAGGGTACTTGGTAGCTTAACAGAATTATGTGCTCTGTATAATATCCCTTACTTGTAAGGTGCTGGGAGCACACTAGTGTTAGACTTCCCAACATCAAGCAGCAGTGCACAGTGCCTGGGAGACGACAAACTTCTGTCTCTACACCTTAAGAGGAGAGGCTTTACGTTAATATTTAACTACACTTTTGGCTGTCTAATCAGAGTGGTTTCTGTGGCTTTGGCCTCTTGCTGCCTTGATACTTGTACTTTTGACTTTAAAGTTCCCAGTGAGCTATCTTCCCATAATATCTAGTGTTGCACTTTGGTTTGCATTGCAGAGCAGTTTTGAGGCAAGCAAACGACATTGCTTTCAGATTGAACTAAACCAGAAATTATGTTTAAGAAGCACCTCAAGTACTAATGGATGTTCACTCACCAGTCAGTTCAGAGATAGTCACATTCCAAACCTCTGTACTGGGGAGTGTCAGCCTCTCAGGATCCACCTTGTTAGCTCTACAGATGTTTACGTGTTGCGTTGCACTGCTTGTTGATGTATAGGTGGCCTCCGAGTGTTTAAAATGAATTATTGACAGATCTGTCTGGATTGTCTTTCAAGAAATTCTTCATATTATCTTTAAGGCCCATAGTAAGAAATCTTTAAAAAGAAACCTAAAGAAAATTTTACAAGACTGTGTTTGCATGTTTATCTCAAACAACACTTTATTAAAAGCAGTATTTTGGAATCCACCTTCTCAATTGACTTTCTAACCTGGATTTTAGAGAACAAACAAAGGATTTACAAATTCTTTATAAATCTTATTCTACAGCAAGATCAAAAGCATTTGGAAAATTTGTCATGTAAAATGATGATGATAATAAAGTGTTTTATATTTTATGACTTACTTTAAAATAACTACCAGAATTATATATGAAAAACTTAATGTTGTCAGGTCAAGTTTTTAGTAATTAAATGCTTAACATGAGTATTACTGGAATCAAATTGTATTTATTTTTTTTTCCTCCTTTAGTGTCAAAACTTACATGATTCAGAACACTTGACCTGGCTTATTGTGAATCATGTTCAAGATTTGATTAATCTGTCTCATGAACCTCCAGTACAAGACTTTATTAGTGCTGTTCACAGGAATTCAGCAGCCAGTGGTCTTTTCATCCAGGCCATTCAATCACGGTGTGAGAACCTTGCAGCTGTAAGTTTAACTTCACTTTTTTGTTTTAAAGACTAAAGTCACTTATTTCAGCATAAGTGTAACTGATAAGTATTCAAATTCTGACATTTCTGGGTCATTTATCAAGTCAAATTTTATTTTTAATATCACTGCTTTAAAAATTCCAACACCGAACCTTATATATTAGCAACTTCAGTGTCAGATGTGTTCCAATCCATCAAATCTATGAATTCAAGTAGAGTTGGTTGAGCTGCTTTTCTTCCTTCATGGGTATTTACCTGTGGATAACAAATATCTGCAGGGTAGAATTAAAGCTGTAGCTTCTGTCTCTGATTTCAGTACCTTGGTAACATAACAGACCTGCTGACTACACAGGCAGGAATAGGAACTAGTCCATCCTCAAAGAACCTAACAACATGAAAATTATTTGCAGGCTGACGCCTTCCTCACTGATCTGCCCTACAAGTTGTAGCCTCTTGGTGAGGGGAATACTGCTTCAGAAATGTAGTGTATGATTTCTGATTGCTTTAATTTTCCAATTAAAAGCAGTGGATGATGTATTATAGGGATATGGGGTTGTATGCCATCCCTCTGAATCTTTGAAACTCACTAGGTGGGAAATGCCCTTTGCTGGGCTTCATCTAGAGCTAGTGGTGGGAGATGTTACTGCAGTAGTTACTGCAGATGCTGCTGAGTAGCCTGGTAAAAATCTAGTGCAACTGCAATAGTGCTTTAGGCATGCGAGTAAAACACCTTAAAGTTGTGTGAGTTGGATCTGAGCTTTAGTGTCTGAGAAACAGTAGAATGAACTGAAATAAATGTGTTTGAATGGAAGATGTAATCATTTTGTGAAATGATTGGTGATATGAGAAGTCAAAATTAAACAGATGATATTTACAATCTGCACTAAAACCAGACTGGTTCCACAAGTTAAACTAGTTTGTGTATCTCCATTTAGATTATTTGTGCTGAACTGATGCTCTTACTTAATATTTTTTTAAAAAAAAATTTTATCCTCCCTTTAATCCTGAGTAGCCATCACTGTATGATTAAACATGTGCTCTAAAAATCCGTAATACTTATCTGTATTTCTGTACTGTCTCTTGGTCTTGACTGTGCTCATCTTCCTACATTCTCCTAGCTAGCTGTCAAGCTTCATGTCTAGCTTCCTACAAATCCACTTATGTCTTGGGCCTTTTTCCCCTAAAAGTTTTGCTCCCTTCTTTTGCTTACTCTTTTACAGTTAAACACCAAACATCAACTGTGTGCTCATATTAATTCACCCAGTAACTCAAACCTATTCATATACAGACGGTCATATTGATCAGCTGGTTGTGTACTATATTTTTTTTTTTTCTAAATGCCTTGCCCTTTAGCTTTAGGATCTTTGTATTCCAAGTAATGGTGCTTTTCTTTCCTCCTGATTTTTCTGTTCTGTTTTGGTTGCTTCAACATCTAGCCTACAACTCTGAAGAAGACTTTGCAGTGCTTAGAGGGAATACACCTCAGCCAGTCTGGGGCTGTCCTGACGCTGTATGTTGATAAGCTGCTGTGCACGCCCTTCCGTGTGCTTGCGCGCACAGTCGACACCCTGGCTTGCCGTCGGGTGGAAATGCTTTTGGCTGCAACTTTACAGGTAAAGATAACTATATTCAGTTGTAAATCAGATTGGGTAGTGCTAGCATTATGGTCAAGCATAATGATTTTAAGCGCATCAAAATATGATGGTGTTTGTGATTTCATTGGAAAGGAAATTGTATTTAATATGTAGATAGGAGCGTTTACATTTCACTACTTCTGCCTGTATTTGTATTCTCAAAATAACTGAGTATCTTATTTCTGTCCTGTAAAATGCTTCTGATTCTTTCCTGTAGAACAGCATTACTCAGTTACCAGTTGAAGAACTGGATAGAATTCAGGAATACCTTCAGAACAGTGGATTAGCGACAAGGTAAATAATAGCAATATGTGTTAAAAGGCCAAACTAAGTAATGTTGTAGTACTAATTTTGTGGCTTATTTTTTGTTCTGAATTTGGGTTTTTCATATAAGATAGTGGGTCCTTTTCAGAGGTGTAAACAGGAGTAAACCCTCTTATGAGATGCAGGGATAGTTGTGTTGGCTGAGTTGAGTTTGCAATATACTTGGGGAATTAAAGCAAGCTAAAGGTTTGAAGACATCAGATTCTCTCTTCTGCATCCCACTTGGTATTTAAATTTTGACAGACAGCAACCAGAAATTAGATGATAAAAACCTGCATTACTGGAAACAACTTTATTTCCCTTTATTTTCCTTTTGCAGAATTTTGTGAGTCTAGGCTGGGTAGGCTTCTTTTTTGTTTGGTGTTTGTTTCCAGACAACAGTGTTGAAAGTTACCTGTTCAGTCTCCTAGCTCTTTAAAAGTAAACACTGTTATTAAAAGGAGAAAATAAATTTTTGATAAGCTTTATTTAGTCTTGGAAGGAGCCTAATTTACTCTTTTTGCTTTCTTTGCTGTTTGAGGTTATCTGACTGAAATAAGAAAGTAGGGGAAAAGAATCTGAAGGCTGAGATTGCAGTAAATTAATAGTAATGTGCCTTCATAGGTAATATTACATTTGAGTTTTTATGAACTCCCAAATCTCCAATGGCTTTATATGAGTTCTTGATAGCAGTAATAGAACAAAAAACAACAAAAAGAAGAAAAATCCTATTGAACTGACATAAGTCCACAAACTGGTTTTCTTAATATGTAGGTTTTTTAAAGCTCTGTTTTAGTGGGTTTTGTTTGGTATGTTTGAACATATTTGTCTGCAATCAAATAATCTGTACACTAACTTTGATTCTTAGTCATTAAGATTTACTGTATAAAGAAAACTGGACAGCTTGCATTTTATGCTTAATCATAGAGAAATTTTAAATCCAAGTTAAATTTAGATCATTATTGTTGATGGTGCTGGGTTTGGCTGCTGAGAGCTGGTGATATTTGCAGTTTTGCATCATTTGACTGCATTTGTGCAACAAAGTCCCTAAGACCCTAAGCTTTTGTCTCCCAGGATTAGAACTGGCTCCCTGCATGTCTTTCTACTTGTAACTGATTTACAAAACTGAGTAAGTTAGCTCTCTGCTCATGTGTTTTTCTGTTTTCAGACACCAAAGACTTTACTCACTCTTGGATAGGTTTCGTCTTATGGTAGCACCAGACACAGCGAGTCCTTCACCTCTCATTACCTCACACCCACTAGATGGAGAAGACCAACCAGCTTTAGAGAACATAATTCTAGACAAAGTAAGATTGTTTAGAGTCAAAAGGGCTTTGGTTTTAAATAAATCTTTTGCTTGTTATGAAATATTTAAATAGAGCTTACTTTTAGTATGCAGTTCATGTTCTCAGAAATGTCAATGAATCTCAAATGTAGATCAGTGAATGATTTCATGTACTGGCTGACAGCTGAATTTAAGATGAATAGCATGTGCATAGATGTTTGCTGTGTTGCAGTGCTGTGGAAAAGTATCAGATTTGGTTTCTTTGCAGAACTTCAGTGGAAATATTTATGTAAGCTTCAGCAGTGATATGTATTTGTTTTCTTGGTGTCTTTACTGCAGGGATCAATTTTATTCCTTTGCTGAAAACTGATTGTCTTGTGGAAATTAAGCATTACTTCTCAGATTCCACTTCTCAGCTTCAAATAACTTTCAGAGAACAATCATGGCTACTTAACTGTCTTGTGTACTTAAATGCATTTATTTCAAAGCAGGCTGGGAGGCTAAGAGCAAGCATTTTGGGGCCTGTGCCTTCCCTTCTAGCTTGTCCCACGGTACAGATGACTTGTTTTCATTCCTTTTTTTTCTACAGTGATACACAGGAATAGGAAACCATATGTAACATGGCAAAAATTATTTAATTAGATAAGGGTTTGGACCCATTGACTTGAGAGAGATTGAGAGCTACTTAGACAGCAGGAGGAAGCCATTTATCCATAGCTTTCTGTATTCAAGTTAAGCAAAAAATTCTCAATATAAACTGTAAATCTTGCACAAAGGAATTAACTTTTGTATTCTTCCTCCACAACCCCTACATAGTTCACAGAATCACAGAATATCATAGAATATCTCAAGCTGGAAGGGACCCATATGGGTCATCAAGTCCAACTCCTTGCAGGACTACCTAAAACTAAACCACATGACCAAGAGCAATATCTAGATGCTCTTTCAACTCGGACAGGTTTAGTTGCACTCCAACTAATATCAGCAAATTCTGAATGTCCTGTTATGAAAAAGAAAACACAGAAAATAACTGAGCCTCTTTATATTCAGTAGTTAAATTAGTTATATTAACTAATTCCCATAGGCTCATCACTAATAATTTGAGTAAGCTTGCAGTTATGTGATAGTCTTCATTTATTTCAGCCAGGGTTAAAAGATTTTTTTTGCTGTTCTATTTGTATCTGAAGACTTTTCTTTGTTATAGTATTGGGGTTTCCTTACTATTACCCTTACATTTGTGTGACCACTGAGTGTTCCATTTTTTTCTGTCTAGATACTCTTCAGCTTTAGGATCCTAATACATACACCTGTGCTGTATGTCAAGCTTCTTTTTTTTTTTCCCCTTATTTCCTGTCCAGACTTAAGGGGAAATAAACTTGCCAGTGAACACCCATTCCTATAGACTGAGGTTGTCCATTCACCAGTTTTCTGTTTTCCCGTTTCCCTTGCTTTTTTCTTTTGACATTAATGTGGCCTAGTGATCTCTTAAATGGATCACAATCTGATGCCAATGGGCAATTTTTCCCATGAAGTGTATTATGTTCTGAGAGAGTAATTTCTCTTTTTTTGTTAAAGGACTGGTATGTGTCACTAGCGAGGTCACAGTGCTACGTCAGGTCTGACTCGGCACTGCTAGAAGGCGCAGAGCTGGTCAATAGGATACCTCAGCCTGACCTGAACTCGTTCATGACCAGCAAGGTAACTGCTTTGCCATATGGAACACAGTCATATGAAGAGGATGTAATTGTTTCTAATGTTCTTATTGGTAGTATTAATAGATTGGATTATTAAATGTAAACATTTCAAATTTGTATAATACTGGTAGTTCACTTCTTGAATTTAATTTAATTTTGGAAAATAAAATAGTAGATATGTTTAATTTCTGTGTCTAGCAATGCTGCTAATAGTAGCTTTCTGGTAGTGTAGGCTGGATGTATAGAGTGGAAGTGAAAGTTAATTTGTGTTGCAATCAGAAAAATCCAGTTATACCATTTTACCTAATCTTGGTTTGCTGTACAGTCTTAAAAGACCAGATGTTTCTGTAACCTTTCAAATATCTGTGCTGGCTGACTTGCAATATGCCACAAATAGGCCACAGATAGTAAATCTGGTGTCAAGTACAACTTGTATCTATTACTGTCTTCTAAAAGAACATATTTTCAAATTCCCTACATAATGTTTTTTGCTGGTATGCAGATATAATGGTGGGAAACGGCTTTTAAAAAGATTTTTGTTTGACTTGTTTGAAGACTTATTGCTTGAAGATTACTTGTATATATATAATCCTTAAGCTTTATTCACACATTGTTCTGCTAATTTGGGTAAGCATATTGATTTTTCTTTGCAGTACAGTAGTGTTTAGAATTTAAGTGTGGAACAAATATGGGCTTAATTATGATACACCACAATAGAGCAGAGGTGATAGTAACAACTTAATTAATACACTGTTAACTTAGCACCAAATTACTTTGCTAGAATAGTGCTGTCAGATACTTAACTTCTCTTTAAAAGCTGTCTCTTTACATTTTATTTACTGTTTAATTTCAGGAATTCAACCTAAGCCTGTTAGCACCCTGCTTAAGCCTTGGCGTGAATGAAATCTCAAGAGACCAGAAGAGTAGCTTCTTTGAAACAGCTCGGAGGGTAACTCTGGATCATGTGTCTACCACTGTACAAAACTTTCCTGCCAACCACCAGGTTTTTCAACCACTATTGCCAACTGAGCCATCAGCCTACTGGAAAAAACTAAGCGATATCTTTGGTAATAGAAATAATGGTCTTTAAAAGTTTATTTGTTCCTCTAGAAAGATACTTTTACTGATATCTTATGAATACATGAAATTACTTTATTTTTTAAAGATACCTGACATAGAAGTGCTTATGAAATCTGAAAAACACTTATTGAGGGGGGGAAATTCCAACTGCTAGATCTCATCGAGCCTTCTTTTATAGGAGATGAGATGATCTACCAGCCTATGATGACACTTTGTCGTGCACTGGCTCAGTATTTGTTGTTGCTCTCAAAACTACCAGCTGGCCTCCGTGTTCCTCCTGATAAAGAGGATGATATCCTGAAATTCATAGTTATGTCAGTAGAGGTAAGAAACTACAGCATAATTAAAGATGTTATGAAATGCTGGGGAAGGGAGCACCTTTGACTTAAACAGATCACCCCTGAGTAACATTTGATCTAGGCAGTCTTCATAAGTCTAGGAATTTTAGTGTTTTTTCATTTGACCCATGCTAGTAAATCAAATGGGCTTATGAGACAAGGGCAGCTTTTTACAAGGAGAGATTGAATGATGCAATGATCTTGGCATTTGGGAGGATGGCCCTGCACTGATTTTTTGGAACACTAAATAAACAGTATATAATGCTTATAACTTTCTTGTACTTAAAATAAATTCTGTTTTCTCAGGAAAAAAACAACCAATACAACTCGCTAATAAAACCTTACATATTGCTGAGGGGGAAAAAAAAAAAAAACCCTCACACCTTTGGCTGTAAGCTTTTTTCTTTAGGTTGTGAGAACTTGCTTTTAATAAATTGTTATTTTTGCACAGGCAGTATCATGGCATTTAATGCATGACCGGATTCCATTAAGTGTAGATCTTCAAGCTGCTCTGGATTGCTGCTGTTTGACATTACAGCAGCCTAGTCTCTGGAATTTGCTGGCTTCTGCAGCTAATGCCACATATGCTTGCTCCTTAATTAATTGCATTAGATTTATCATAGAAGCAGGTGAGTCCAATTTAAAAAGCTATGAGAAAATTTTCTTAATAAATTGTCAGTCATCACTGATGGAATGCTAGGTATCTGGAGTATTTCCTCTGAGTCCTTTTAAATTATTTTTTGACAAATTTATTTTTACTACTTTAATTTCTCATTTAAAAATGTGTGTTTAGTTTTGAAATTGGCAGATGCTTTGGAGATGTTAAGTATTAGACTACGTGTGGCTTTAGAGAGTAAAATAGAATATGAACTATGTAATGGCTGTATGTTTTAAATATTTTTGTCTAATTCAGTTGCTGTTGAACCTGGCAATCAACTTCTTAGTCCTGAAAGAAAGAAGAATGCCTCAAAAGGCTTCAGTGAGGGTGAAGCTGATTCAAATACACAAAGTGAGTAAACAGTGAATGCCACGTTTTCCTTAAACTTTCACTGAAGAAATGTTTGTAGGTACCCTTTCCATTACTTTATTTTTAACAGTGGGTGTTCATGTGAGACCTTATTTATATTTGAGAAATGTTTATTAAATACAGGCTGACAAATTTTAATAGATAGAGTTGTTTTTTCTTCAAAGTTAAACATTAATGCAGATTTTTTCTTTGGGGGATTCTGTTAGCCGTGCAGCACGCTGGAGACCGAACTTTTTAAAGTGTTGTGGGATTTAAAAATTTTGCGTGGGAGAGTTAGAATTGCTAATATTTCTTCTGAAGAATGGCAGGTTCATTATCTGCTCTTCCACAGTGTGGGAGCACTAACTTGAAGTGAAGGTCAAGTGTAGTCCCTGAGTGTGGACAGCATTATCTTCCATATCCAGCTGTGCTGCTACAGTAAGATACCACTTCCATCTACAGAATTAATCTGCTTGTCAGTTTTGGCATAGAACCCATTGTGAGACTTGTCTCGTAAAACAGATGAGTTGGGTCACTTTTTCACAAGTGCTCTATTCAGTGTGGCCTGTTCTTGCTGGAGTTGGGATATGAGCTACTCTGCTGACAGATCTCGGGTACTGGTAATCTCCAGCACAGACTGGGAATGCAGGCTGGTTCAGGGAAGGTGGTAGTAGTACTCTTCAACTAGCTGAAATACTGCAGAATATTTCTTTGTATTCATCCTTATTGTGGTTTTCTTTTTAGTTAACATATTCATTAAGCATTTTTTGGTTGGTTTTTTTTTTTTTTAAATCATGTGTATTTTGAATAGATTCATAAAACTGAATTTCTTTTTCTCCCAACAAAGAAACTAAACACGTTACTGCAGCTTGTGAAATGGTAGCTGAGATGGTGGAATGCTTACAGACTGTCTTGGCACTGGGGCACAAAAGAAACAGCAGTATCCCAGCATTTCTTACTCCTGTCCTCAAGAACATCATCATCAGTTTAGCAAGGCTGCCTCTGGTGAACAGCTACACAAGAGTGCCTCCCTTGGTATGTTCATTATGCTTTGTTTTCAGGACTTTAAAAGCTACTGACAAACTTCTTGAAAACCAGACATGGTGCTCCATTAAGTTTTATGTCATTGGGACTTCAACATTTACCTAGTTTTTATCAGCCAATTTTTCTTTTTAAATATTGAGTAGCAAAACACTAAAGATATCAGAAGTTCACTTTGGAATCAAATTTAGTTAGAAAGGAGTTTTTAGTCACTCCTTACATTCCTATGTGAAAGAATGTCCAGGTGGTAGTTCAAGAAAGGAAAAGCAAGCAGTGAGTTGAGTGCTTTGTTAGGATTAAGGTTTCTCCATGCTTAGTGGGTTTACTTACCATGGAAAGAGATATGACACCTGAATTGACAATTTCCTATTTTGTCATGCTAACCACCACAATGATACTGAGGTGTATGAGGTAGTGTCTGAATTAACTCAGGTGTTTGTGTGTGATAACATTCCATGGTATGCCATGTAGCTACTTTTAGATTGTATATTACTGCTCTTCCCTGGAAGATCTTGGATCTCTCAGACAAGGTACTTCAATCTTTTCTTTTTGGCCAGTGTAGTATGGATTTAAGAACACATTGTTACCTCCATGTATTGTTGGTACTGTGAAATAACTTTGTTTTGATGAACTTCAAAACAATTATCAGAGGCACTTCTGGATGCTTATTACGCAGAGCAAAATGGGGTTTCCCAATATGTGCAAGGCCTTTTTTTCTGGCTTTTCTTTGTTTCTCAGCACTGTTTTTTAGGGCATGTCAAAAGATATGGGGTTTTTTATTGAGACTTCCTTGCCTGCTCTTCATGGTTTTTCAGACATAAGTAGTATGTGAACTATTTTCCCTGAACTACCTTTCAGTATCACTTCTGCACAATCTAAGAGTTACTGGCACTTCCATTCTAAACTGAAATATGTGACAGGAACTTGCTTGGGTTTAAGCCAAACTTTGACAGTAGGACAGAATATTTAGTTCATAGTAAGAAATGTGAAAAAAAAAAAAAACAAAACACCCAAATTTAGAAATACACTGTAAGATGTGTATTAGCTGTGTTAGAGAAGAACTTCCAGAAAGATTAAATATCTGTTTGGAAACTTTATTTACTGATGTCTTTTTGCTCTTGAATGGTGTATATAATAGCTGTGATATTAATACTATTTCTGTTTTGGATAAACAAAGTGACTTTATTTCTTCAGGTCTGGAAGTTGGGCTGGTCGCCCAAGCCTGCAGGTGACTTTGGCACAGTTTTTCCTGAAATCCCAGTAGAATTTCTTCAAGAAAAAGAAATCTTCAAGGAGTTCATCTATCGCATTAATACTCTTGGTATGTGCAAAATTAATACAGCTGACTCTTATTGGATGTTTACTTGCTTTGTGAAGTTACTGAATAACTGAATCTAGTACCACGTCTTTAGTGTTGCTTCTTATGTGGAAGAGAAATAGTGTTTCAGAGCAAGTTAGTAATTGTGCTGGAATAATTTTTAACCTTTGTTCAGCGCAGAGGAAAAATTATAAATGGTAGAAATAAAGCCAAAAACTATTCCAACTTGGAGTGATTATTTCAATGTGTTCTTACAGAATGGCCACTTGTTTTCTGAAGCAGACACTTGGCAGTATGTTTGAGAATATTTTGCTTCCCCCCCTTTTTTTTTAATTCATGCATAGTATATGAACAGAATTTAGTGCCATACTCCAGTATTTTAAATGAGATTCTATCACTTTAAAGCTTCTAGATACGTCAAAGGTAATACATCAAACTTTCTGTATGCTTACAGAAGTTCTTTGGTTTGTGTGGGTTTTTTTTCTTCTCTGATCTATAGGTGAACTATTGGACTGATTTGTGGTGTAGCTCTGATTTCTATTTGATCACTATAATTCCTAAGATGACATTCTCATTTTTTATTCTTCGGATATCATTAGTATAAACTACAAGGTATTAATAGGGAATTCTCTCATCCTTTATTGGTAAAAATCTGTTTTGAAAAACTTTCTGAGAAGTGCTTGAATTTTAATGGCATACTTCTGGGCAGTTCAGTAATATTTGCATTTAGGGCATGAATCTTTCTTGGATCATTATGGGATTCTCCATGACTGACTTTCCCAGGAATGTTGGCCAACTTTCTGAAAGATTTTTTTGTTGTTGTTGTGAAAACCTGATAGGTCTCAATGCTTTGAAATATTTAAGTTTATATAACAAACAACCTGAACTGGACCATTTAAATCATGTGCAGAACCCTTCTGAAAAGTTCCTCACTTACTAAAATTGAACAGTTTACATTTAAGCTGTAATGATTACAAGAATATCAAGTTGAATAGGAAATGGTATGAAATTAAATCTGTGGAAATGATGTACCACATTTCATTACTGTTCCATATATACATTTGTTTTAAAACTTAAATGGCTATCTCTGAGTGTTTCCATAGGATGGATCAGCCGTACTCAGTTTGAGGAAACGTGGGCAACTTTGCTTGGTGTGCTTGTGACTCAGCCTATTGTAATGGATCAAGAAGAGAACCAACAAGAGGTAATGTACTTCACTGAATTTCTAAATTAAACTTCACTTTAAGAAAAATGTTTCTATTAATAGGAGCATGTAAAGCAGAATAGTGACTAAAACAATTTCTATTTTCTATTTCCTTGTCTTCATATCCCTGTGAGGTAGAAGCTTAAAGTTTTTGCATGTGTGTAAGTAGTATGGAAAAATCTTAGTGAAGCTGTTTCAACTTCATGCTGACAAGTCAGTCAACATGCACATAGTTCAAAGTTTGCTTGATAAGGTGTTTGGCTTCAGGCACAATAGGAACTCCAAAAACTTTGAGAGAGGCAATGTGTGAGAGAACTCTGCCTCTAGGAAATATACTAGTTAACTGTAACTGTTGCGTATTACTGCAATTATCTGTGCTATCTAATAATCAAACTTCAAGGGTAATTTCTTTGGTTAGATGTTTTTGTGAGATTCATGACTCAACATGAATTGACCTGGAGATACATTGAGCAGGGCCAGAGGGCCAGAAAGATGCTAGCAAACTGATTTTACTACGTTCTAGCTCTTTGACCTGAAAAGTTTGGGTTTTTTTCCTAGACTCATATAACATTCACTCACAAATTGTAAACAACCCTCATGGTAGGTGCAGAACCTAAAGCATTTTCAAGTATTTGGAGGACAGACACCTATGAATTGTTGGATCCCAGGTGGCAGACAAAGGGGTTTGTTTCTCTTGCCTCTTAGGTGTCAGACTCCAAGAAGGAGTAGGGCATCATCATCCCTCTTCCCAGGGTTAGCTTTTTCTTAGACTGACTTGGACACTTGTGCAGACTGAAGAATTTTTTAACTTATTTTTTATGTAATGGCCATGTTGTACCAGATTTGCGCAACCTAGCTATTAATTTGTCACGTAGAGAGTGTGTGTTTATAGAACAGAAATAATACTGCTCCTTTACTGTTCAAGGAAAACTAGTATGTTCAAAATTGCAAACATTTTAAACACTGGTACAGATTTCAGTGTGTTAATATTTTCTTAAATAAAAATACAAGGTTCTTTAAAAATTAACATCTGTTACCATTTTACATTTTCTAAAAAGATTTAGATTCTGTTGTGCTCTGATACTTTCAAGAAGGAATGAGAATCTGTACAATGAAAGAAAAAACTGAGAAATATCCTGCCACTTCAGAATCTGCAGACGTTTGTCCTGTTCTGATTTTGGTTTGTTGAAAAAAAAAAAAATAATTTTAGTCTAAGTACTGGTGATAAACAGTTCTAAGCAAACAAATTTGATGTATTGTAAAGATTCTTGCTACCATCAACACGGGATGAGTTACAACCCACAGTGCCAGAAATTTATTTTAAAAGATTTGTTGTTTTTTTCTGAAGGGAGAGAGTCAGGCTGCTACAGGGGTGGTGATTTACAGTGGCATAGTACTTGATGCAGTGTGTGTGGTTCTAGATATCTCTCTTTGGGGGAAAAATCACAGTGCATCAGCTATGAATAAACAGCTGAACTTCCAGACAGGAAGACGTCCAGATGTCAGGCTTGATAATGTAGTGGAAGGTCACAAACTGATATTTGGGACTTTCAGGATATTTTTGTCTTACAATTTGAATTACAGTAAGTTCATTTTACAGGAAGATACAGAGAGGACCCAAATTAATGTTCTTGCAGTACAAGCCATAACTTCCTTGGTGCTGAGTGCAATGACGATACCTGTTGCAGGCAATCCAGCAGTTAGCTGTTTGGAACAGCAGCCCCGCAACAAAGCTTTAAAAGCTCTGGACACAAGGTATGTTTTTACTTCTTCCACAATGCAGGGAACTTATACTTGTGATTAATACATAATTAATTTTTTTTAAATTGCTTAATTAAGCTGTGGCAAAAATGTATGTAGACTATACTTCCTAAGCAAGAGGGCATACAGGTAGATCTCTTTATGTAGAAGGTGCATGGACTTAACATCATTAAGCTGCTGAGTTAAAAGACAGCATTTGAAAATGACAATATGTTATTAAAATCTAGTAAATGGTGTGCAGAATGTATTTCTCAACATTTCTCAATTTTAGCATCTCTGATAATGAAACAAAGCACGGACACATAGCATTGTAGACTAAACTAGTCAAGCTTGCACAAAAAAGTTAATGGGAATATCTGCTTAAACTGATTTCTGTTGGGCTTTCAGGTTTGGGAGGAAGCTAAGTGTTATCAGGGGAATTGTTGAACAGGAAATCCAAGCAATGGTGTCTAAGAGAGATAATATTGCTACTCATCATTTATACCAAGCTTGGGACCCTGTTCCATCACTTTCTCCTGCTACTACAGGTGAGTGTCTGTGTGCAAGGGGAAGGGGAGCGTCAATTTCTTTTACATTTAAAAAGTAGAAAAGATACTCTTTAGAATTTATTTGAAGCCTTTATTTACAAGAAACAAAGTTATTTTCACATCTAGGTTGTTATGCATGTTTTAAAAACTTGTCTTTTTTTTTTATAGGTGCTCTTATCAGCCATGAAAAGCTCTTACTGCAGATCAATACTGAACGAGAAATAGGAGATATGGATTATAAACTGGGACAGGTATGTCAAAACATTAACTTCAAACTTTTATTACATGTTTTCCGGTTTGTGCAAATTCAGTTAGGAGTTGAGTGATGCAGGACAGATCATAACTGGGTAACTCCTCAACCAGCCGTCCCACTGCTCATGGAGTTTTTGCTTGTGTGTGTGAGGCCTACCCACGAGCCAGCTACTGACTTGTACTCTTCAGCCTTGTGTTACAGAGCCCTTGTAGTGTTGGCCTCCACTTTAACTACTGCATTTTAATCTGCATGCTTCCAGTAGTCCTTAGGAAATTAAAAATCACTAGACATAAAATAAGCAATGTTGGTTTAATTTTAAGTCCAGTATATGGAGACAAATTTCAGTGGATGATTTTAGTTGGAAAATTAGCACTACATACAGTGAATTAAAAAATAGTCCTTAACTAGTTATCTCCTTGAAAAATTAATCTTTACATAAAGTGACATATAAGTTTTAAATGTAATATGTTTTACTATTTGAATAGTATATACTAGTGGGGAAAAAAATTAAGTACTAAATTTGCATGACATTTATTTTGCTTGAGGAATTGAGAAGACTAAATGGTTACTTGTCTGTCTCTAGGCACCTGTATGTTCTCTTGAGATTGTAAATGGCTTGAACATTCAGTATTTGCAGGTTTACAGATGTTCTGCGTTATTTACAAAGCCTGTTAACTCTGTAACAATACTAGGCAGTAGACATCCTGCTCGAAAAATAAATGTGTGCATGTATTTCTGCTAAATGTGAGAGAGAATGCTATGTCAGTGTGTATTTTTATCTAAGAAAGAAGTCTTGAGGTATGTAAGGTAAGTGACTTTATAGGAAAAAGTAACAGCTACATTGAAACATAGGGAATGCTGTTTTTGGTTTGGTATCGTCAGATTTACCAACTGCCATCAGCAGGTATATTGTTCTGAAACTTTAATTGTGTAAATTAAGCTCAAAGAACAACTAAGATGTTGCCTTCTTCATGGATAATTGCTTATCTAGCATGAGTCGAAGGACTTGAAATCTTTGTGTAGTCTGGTTTCAGAAGAAACGTTATTTTGCAGTCACATGTTCAGTTATGGTCTGAGAGGAGTTAGGAATGTGTTTTATATTGGACTGCAGTCATTAAGTTCTTAGTTATTTCCTTGCTTGGTATGTATTATAAATATTGCTACTTTGCTTTAGATATTAAATCTGCTGTGTTGATTTTGGGATGATGCATGCACATTGTTAGTGTGTGCTTGCATGTGAGCTGGATGCTGCTTTACAGCAGCACAGCCTGTAGTGCTGTGTTGTTAAATATTATGCTGCTTTTCTGTTTTTGTGTGTGCATTGCAAGGTCTCTATACACTCCATATGGTTAGGAAATAATATCACTCCGTTGAGAGAAGAAGAGTGGGGTGAAGATGAAGAAGATGAGAATGACATACCTGCTCCTTCCTCACCACCAACATCTCCAATTAACACCAGGTGTCTTATTTTTTCCTTACCTCTCCTTTGACTTACCCATAAGCTGTTAACTCTTCATGCTAAATTCAGTAAGCTGGGTTTATAAATTGGATGCTGATAAATAACTGTCTGATTTCAAATGAAGCATTTTAGCAGTGCTTAAGAAATAGCCATTTTAACACTTGCTTATTGTGCCTTGCAGGAAACACCGGGCTGGTGTAGATATACATTCTTGTTCTCAGTTCTTGCTTGAACTGTATAGCCAGTGGATATTGCCATCAAACCCAAGCAGGAGGACACCAGTCATTTTGATTAGTGAAGTGGTGCGATCGGTAAGTTTAAACTGCTATTTAGAGTCATAACTGAGTACATGTTACCAAACAGTCAGAGCTAAGCAGCATTGGTAAAGCATCTTTTAATATATGGGAAACAATGATTTTTTTTTCTTGGCAGTGCTGCAGTGTGTACAGAAATTTAATTTGAGCAACTAACATTATACTGATTTGAACTATATAAGCGTTTGAATTGCATCTTCTACTACATACCAACACTTTAGTGATAGTTGGTATTTTACTTGACTGCTAAAAGTAGATTTCAGGATTTTCCTTATCCTATCTCTTTGTAAGAAAATGAAAACAGAACAACCATGTATTAGAGGATTAAATTGACTATTGAAGTATAGAAGCAAAACTAAAAAACACAGGTGTGGAATTTGCCTTAACCATTATTCAGTGTCATAAAAGATTTAAAATCGAAGTATCCTTGCAAGAGAGTATGTATTGTGTGTTTCAGAGTGGTTTAATAGAATTTAAACTCGTAAAGGTCTCTTTGCAAACATAATTAAGATGGAAAACCTCTATTAGGATACCCAGAAATACCCAGCCTAAACAGTCTCTGCAGTATTTTTCTTGTTCCTTTCTAGCCTCGATAGTTTTTCTAGCTTAAACACAGGCTGACATAACACAGTTTTTAACTGGCATCAGAGTCAAAAATCAAAAGCCTTTAAGATGATAACCTTGCTAAAGCCTGTCTTAAGTCATGAACCTCTTTCAAACTCCACAGCTAAGTAGTATGCACTGCAGTAGGCTTCCTCACCACCCCAACTCATGCTTTCAGCAGTTACCTCAGAGTATTACACCACAGCTCCTGTAATAACATGGGTTTGGGACAGAAAGTTACAGCTATTTACTTTAAAAAAAGCTCCTAGGATTAGCTGAGTGCTACTGACAGTAAAACCAGGCATTTAAAAGCAGAGTGAGAATTGGTTCTTTGGATTTATAGCTAGCTGTATTCTCAGGCCTATTGCATGTGTATTTAGCACTCCTGTCGTCTTGGAAGGATGCAACAGAAGGCATTCTTGTGTCAGAGCTTCCATCTTTGACCAATAAAATCCCCATAGGGCTGCTAAGGAGGAAGCTGTGAAGTATACTGTCAGTGCACCGAGCTGCCTGTGTTAGGTAGCTTTGAGTCAGAGCTCAGAGTCTCTGGTGGAAGTCTGGCTGAACCTGCTAAACTTCTTTTCACTTGAAGAGCAGGTTCACAGCTTGAGAAATGGAACCAACATACTGGCCCTCTGCTCCTCTGGCTCCCACAGGACTGGGGACTGCACAAGTCCTGTTTCTTTATTATACAGTAAAATACAGACTGATTCGACTCAAACCTTTCTTTCATACACAATACCCTGTTAATGGTGGATTTGGAAAAATGACCATTTGGAGGTAATCATTATCTCTAATGTGTTTGATTTTTTTATATATTCAATTTTAATTTGTGTACAGCTGCTGGCAGTATCAGACTTGTTTACAGAAAGGAATCAGTTTGAGATGATGTATACAACATTGACAGAACTGCGAAAGGTGCATCCATCAGAAGATGAGATTCTTGTGCAGTATTTGATACCAGCCACTTGTAAAGCTGCTGCTGTTCTTGGAATGGTAAGAATTACTCATGGAAGTTTATTGCAAGTTCATGAGTGCCTAGGTTAACTCATCCTTAGCTTCTGCTGCAGACTCTGATGTACTTCATAAGAGTGACTTTTCTCTTAAGAAAATCTCTTGGCTGATATCCGTGCCTGTAAGAGTTAATAGGATATTTATTCTGGACTTTCAGAGGTTGTGAACATCTTCAGTTGCCCGGTATTCAAACAGAAAGGTTGTTTGGCTTGGGGTGTTCTTGATATTTGAGCTTAATTTAAATGTGATTTTTGATTTACTTTACTCAGTTGCATGTTACCTTTGCCATGGGCTCATGTGTTGCATTTCAGGCCAGAAATCAGGACTGCAGACCAGTTATTGCTAGATTTGTGTTAGAGGTGAATGGCTGCAACCTCATGAGTGGCTGGGACAGTGCATGTGATGAATATGTAGCTTGATTGTCAGTTATCCTTTTTCTTTCCCTCACTCTTCCCTCCTCTGCTTTGTTCTTCATTTATTTAGGCTACTTAGAACTTAGGCTATCATTTCCCATTCAGTGAACTAATAACACCTTACAAGCAAACAGCTGAGTATAACGGGTTAGTGGGAGAGGGGGAAAAAAAGGTTGATTTCAACAAGAGTTGCTTGTACTGTGCTCAGTTATGTAGAAAATGCACTTTTACAGCATGTGCCCTCTAGTTGCTGTTTATCTGGCCTGTATTTTACAAGGTAAAACAAATAATTTTTACTAAATGTTTAAAATAGATTGTAAGAGACTTTTCAGGTCTTACAATTTAGAATAGATCTTGTGTATTTCAATAAGAAACTGTACTTCAGTAACAGGGAGTAAAATATTGGATATAAGCTTGATTTTTGAAGACTGAACACAGAATCATAGAATCATTCAGGCTGGAAAAGACCCTTAAGATCTTTGAGTCCAACCATTTACTTAACACTGCCAAATCCACCACTAAAACATGTCTCTAAGCATGATGTCCACTGATCTTTTTAAATGCCTTCAGGGATGGCGAGTCCACCACTTCCCTGGACAGTCTGGTCCAATGCTTGGTGGCCCTTTTGGTGAAGAAATTTCTCTTAATATCCAATCTAAACCTCCCCTGGGGCAACTTGAGGCCATTTCCTTTTCTCCTGTTCCTTTTTACTTGGGAGAAGAGGTGGACCCCCACCTTTCTACAACCTCCTTTCAGGTAGCTGTACAGGATGATAAGGTCTCCCCTGAGCCTCTTTTTCTCCAGGCTAACAAACCCCACTTCCTTCAGCTAGATTTGTTGTCTAGACTCCTTACCAGCTTCGTTGGTTGTCCTTGGATGCACACCAGCTCCTCCGTGTCTGGTGCAGCCACACTGTTAGAGTACAGAGGTACAATCAGTTCTATGCTCCTGCTGGCCACATGATTGCTGGTACAAGCCAGGATGCCATTGGCCTTCTTGGCCTCCTGGACACACTGCTGGCTAATGTTAATGTGTCTGTCAACCAACAGCCCCAGGTCCTTTTCCATTAGGCAGCTTTCCAGCCACTCTTCCCCAAGCCCATCGCATTGCATGGGGTTGTTGTGACCCAAGTGCAGGACCCTGCACTTGGCCTTGTTGAGCCTTACCCCACTGACCTTGGCCCAGTGATCTAGCTACTCTAGATCCTTCTGTAGAGCCTTTCTATGCTCAAGCAGATCAACACTTCTACCCAACTTCGTGCCTTCTGTGAATTTACTGAGAAGTTCCCTCAATCCCCTCATCCAGGTCATGGGAGTAGTGGGGACAAAGATGTGTAGGTCTGAGTGCCGTTGGTCTCAGAGAACAAATAAAGGGAGTGCTGTACTGTCAGTTCAGTGGATAGTGTTCTTTTAGATGCACACTCCAGGCATCTGCAAGTCAGATTCAGATGCATTCTTTGGTTAGCTGGAAGGCCAGAAGATGCCAACTATTGAATTGGTTTGATTCTTAATAGCACAAATTATCTCCTGAACTAATGCTGATCTTGGCTTTTTTGGCTTTACATCATGAGAACTTTTTACAGGTAAAAAGCTAGCATCACTTTCCTAGTCAGTCTGCAAAGACGACTATCTTTTATTGATTTTAATATTCTTGTGACATTTGATTCAAAATAGTTTTCATGCTTCATGCCATTATTCTGTGCTCTTTAATTTGTTCCAAGTATCTCCAAATGACAGGAGTCACCAGTATTGAACCATTGTTAGTTTCTAATGAATACTCTTGTTGGATGTACTAGGATAAAGCTGTGGCTGAACCAGTAAGTCGACTGCTGGAATCAACCCTCAGAAGTACCCATATGCCAAGTCGGATTGGAGCCCTGCATGGAATTCTTTACATCCTTGAATGTGACTTGCTTGATGAGACAGCAAAGCAACTGATTCCAATTATCAGTGATTATCTGCTCTCCAATTTGAGAGGAGTAGCACAGTAAGACTCTTCCCCCCAGCCCCAGACTGTTGCATGCTTATGTGTGAGCAAAAAGGCTATTTATGATTTGCTGTTGTCAGTACGTTTTAGAAATGAGCAGGCTGTTTTATCAAGCAGGTTCTGTCATTTTCATTGAAAATATGAGCTGATTTTAGGTTTGATTTACAGAAGCAAAAAGGATATTTGAGGGTGAGAAGACTGTTGGGTAGCTCAGACTTTTGTCTCCTTAGTAAATTGTGTTCCCTAAATCTTGGTTTTCTAGCAAAAGGTATACTCTGAATGAGACTTGAGGGATCAGTAAGAAAGTTTTGTTTTTCCTAAACAAGTCAGGCAATGGTAGCTTAAAACTATATTGCTGAATAATTTCATGCGTTGCACTGGGTTTTCTTGATAACCAGTACTCTCTCATGGCATCTTGGTGATATGTTGTGTGATTTTAGAAACTGCGTAATTTTAATGTGGAAAAAATACTAGTGTGTCTAAGGATTGTTTGTATTGTTTCTGTTTGACCTAGACAACTTCCATGTAATTGACCACGAGTGTTTTTGCTTATTTACAGTTGTGTGAATATCCATAACCAACAGCACATCTTGGTAATGTGTGCAGCTGCTTTCTATTTGATCGAGAATTACCCACTTGATGTAGGGCCTGATTTCTCTGCAGGAATTATACAGGTATTTTGTGATACCTCCAGTCACAGGTCATATAGCCTGGGATCACCACATATCTATCTTTAACACACCTTGATTACTGTGGTGTAGGTATGCTTTTGGGCTTAGTTTCATCATGTTTTTTTAACACCTGATGCAGTTCCATACTAGCTGTAGTGGTATGATGCTAGAATAGGACCTAAACACACCTCAAAACCAAGTAGCTGGCTTTTTTCTTTATTTCAGATGTGTGGAGTCATGGTGTCTGGAAGCGATGAATCGACACCATCCACTATTTATCATTGTGTCCTGAGAGGATTAGAACGACTCCTCCTTTCGGAGCAGCTTTCTCGGCTGGATAGTGAATCACTTGTGAAACTGAGCGTTGACAGGGTGAATGTGCAAAGTCCCCACAGAGCAATGGCAGCACTTGGGCTAATGCTCACTTGCATGTACACAGGTATTCACTTTTTTCATACCTTTGATGTGCTGAGGCACTAGTTTACTAGCAGTGCCATTTTCTTCATTTTTTGTTACCGAGAATAAGAAGGCCTTATTTCAGCATTCACAGCAAGCTTCTAACAAACTGTTTTGGTTTAGGAAAGGAAAAAATCAGTCCAGGTCGTACCACAGATGCCAATCCTGCTGCTCCCGACAGCGAATCGGTGATCGTGGCTATGGAACGAGTCTCTGTCCTTTTTGATAGGTGAGGGGATAACGTCTATCATGGGGCACTGGGAGGGAAATGATTCTGTTTGGCATTTTATGGTCACTTCTCTATTTGATGGGTCTAGTAGTTAATTAATGAGGCCTCTCTGCTTACCAGTGCTTAAAATTGATACTTTTAATATACACAGTAACAATGATGGAATTGCTGAAGGCAGCACAAATGTACAGGAATGTAAATGGGAAACAGACATGTCCTAACTGATACTGTGTTGCACAAATACATAATACTTTATAAATGTATTTCCAGCTCCCTTCAGGTCAAACTCTTAAGTGCTTTTTGGGATGTCTTCTGCATAATCAAGGATATAAATCCAGTTTACAGGAAATATTCTTTCAAACCACCCTAGGAGTCTAAAACCTTTTTTCCCCTTCCCCCACCCTAGTGTTGCACTTTCAAAGACTGTTAAGTAATTGCAGTGGAAGGGTACAGTAAAACTTCTGTTTTCATATGGAACTCATTTAATGGAAGTATTTCAAACTCCCTGTTTTGATCTGATAATCTCAAGCTGTCTTAAGTGAGCATAGCATGTTAGATTTTTACATAGTAGTTTGTGGGATAATGGTTTACATTTTTTAAAGTGTTCAGTGGTTTCTTCATAAAGCTGGATGAGAGTTTCATTTCTGCATTCAGTGGGAACAGGACTAGAGCAGTGCTTGAGTGCTTTTGAAAATGTCACTTCTAAGACTTAGCAAAACAAATGCAAATACTACAAGCATAAAGTAACTTCTGCAGGGAATAATCATCCAGTGCTAACTTGATCTTGATACATCAACACATGCAACCTTTATTAGGAAGACTTTCAAATCACTGTTAAGTAAAATTCTCTTTAGGTTGTAGACAGGAGAAAAGATACTCCAACTTAATTTTCCTGTTTGAAGTACTGATCATCCTGGTCTTGAGCAAAAAGAGTGCAAAGGCGTTATGAATGGAAATGAACGTTCTGCTTATAAGTGGTCTTTTCTCTGATAACTAGGAGTAGCGATCTGTCCTTTTTTGTTCTTGTTTTATCAGCATTCCTATGATTTAATCTTGTCTCTGATGCAATTCCAGAACATCAAAAAGTGTTAACTATAAAAAAAAGGCAACCACACCACAACTCCTTATAGCTTTGATAAGACCTCTTTGAGTAGACTGTTAGAGTAAGATTACACGAAGACTTGGGATTCCTTGGTGTTGAAGGCTTCTTTGCCTGTCTAGAGATAAAAGTAACATGTTCTTTCTATTGGAAATTGAATTGGAAAAGAATGAAATATGTACTGGAATTCAGTCTTAAAATGTGTGTGTGTTTTTTTTGTTTTCAGGATCAGGAAGGGATTTCCTTTTGAAGCTAGAGTAGTGGCTCGGATCCTTCCACAGTTCCTTGATGATTTTTTCCCTCCACAAGATGTGATGAATAAAGTTATTGGAGAATTTTTATCTAATCAGCAGCCTTACCCACAATTCATGGCAACAGTAGTTTATAAGGTAGTGTGTTGGGTTTTTCTTAAATGTTTCTGAAGATTTCTAAATAATTGACAACTCAGTCAGCGGGGTAAATGCCAGTTTTGTTAGTTCTAACAAACCAGTTGCAGTGACTGAGCTGTACTGCTGTGAGCTTTTGACTTTAAGGCAACATGGACAGCGAGAGTCACCATGTCACCTGGAAGACAAAGCTCACAGCAGTACAGTTCAGTCACTGGTAGTGGGCAAATAAAGAGGAAATTAATAGTCATGATCCTTGTGTTCACATTCTCCAGATCTTAAGGAGCCAGTCCTGGTCATCTGGCCTTGTGAACTTTACAGTCATACCCCTGTGATCTCAGGCTGCTGAGTATTTTGCTTTTTAGCACCTACTTCTGGACTTGTGCATCACTTGAGGGTGCCTGTGTGCACCCCAGTTGATCTATAAAAACAGACCATAGACAAGTCTTGCATTTGTGTGTTTACTTCAGTTTGGCACAGATGTCATGAGTCCAGTTGGATTCTGGGTGACACTCCTGCACAACCTGTCTAAATGTTGTGTTCATTAGTTCTTTAGACTTGGAGCTGTCTCCAGGGATCCGTTTTGTGAACCTCAGAGCTTTGTAGCTGGAGAGAACCTTTACAATAGGAACTAAACTTTCCCATATTCACCTATGTCTTTATTCCTGTGTGAAATATATTTGCAGGTATTCCAGACACTACATAGCACTGGACAGTCCTCAATGGTCCGTGACTGGGTGATGCTGTCTCTCTCTAACTTCACACAAAGAACCCCTGTGGCAATGGCAATGTGGAGTCTGTCCTGTTTTTTTGTCAGTGCTTCCACCAGTCAATGGATTTCAGCAATGTATCCTTGAAAGAGTG